TGTTGTTCAAGAAGAGCGAGAAGAAAGATCTGAGAAAGATCGCCCAATCTGTTTTGCCTCATAAGTCTGCCAGCTCTCCACTAAGATCATCAATGACGAACTTTCAACAAGTCTAGGCTACAGTAGCTATGAAGGATTTGCATAATCCGAAGGTGCTGCGCAGCAGAGTGCATTTTTCATTAAATCATCTCCTCCAGCGTGCGAATGAATTTTGGCAACCTCTGTGCATTGCCCTTATCGACTTTCTCCAGGGTAGCATAGTGCAGACAGTAATGGCAGAACATGGCATTGGCACGTATTACATAAATTTTTTAAATTAAACGAATCCTGGCAACCTCACAAACATGACGATGATCGACGCCCCCTCCTGATTTCGTCGAGAAGGGCGCTAAACAAGCTGATATCATCTGCCAAAACTCTTCATTGCCTGTTTGGAAATGGTGATCATAAGGATAAACTATGAGGGTTGGATTTACATCCGCGATGAACACTTCAGCCACCTGAAATTCGTGATAACGCGATGTCTTATGCGTGAAACGTCAGTTAGCAACAATACATGTTGCAGGAGCTGGAGCAAAACAGTACAGAAATAATACTGCAGATTAATCGGTAAAAACGAAGATTCCGCCACTGTGTGCCCTGCCGAAGAGCCATTTAATTTTAAACGATGAGAAGATCAAAGAGATGATAAATACATTGATCTTGGCCATGTGACCACCTTGGGTTATGATCAGGCTGGGGAGGTTCAAAGCAGAAAGGAATGCGGTTGGTACTCGTTCCATTAAATCGGAAAGAGAGCAGCGCCAACTTCGTCAGTTCTATCATTCAGTTAGTAATTTTGTCTGTCTATGATATGTGCTCAGTCATTAAAGCGGAAGGGTGCTAGCTGTGTGTCACTGATAGAGCCATATGGTGAAGGACTTTCGGAATTTCAAGTCGCCACACCATCCACAACACGGTGGCCAAACAGTGGACAGTGGCATAGGATCTGGTTGCCATAAGCAAAAGCGAAAAGCTTTGATTGGCTATGAATGGCCGAGCACGCAGCTCGGCTCCCTGACGGAAGATGGTCTTGGTTGTTCATCGGCTTGTAACCTCAAAGTCAAGTTATGCCGCTTCCTCACACACAACGACATTAGGAAGATTGTATCAACAGGAGAAGGGCCAGTCTCGGAGGGAGAAGGATCGAAACCGCCAGCATTGGAGGGCGTATTGCTGCCAGCGCCATTCATCGGTGATTACTGGCCGGTCCAAGTATTCCAAGTGAGTTCATTCGATTCATTCGTCCACGACGCGGGAGGGTAGGCAGTAAGCATTTATTTTCTACAGTAACTTGTGAATTTCAGCTATCTTTCATCACATTACATTCACTGAATAACAAACATAAAAAACAAAAGCAAACAAAATTAAATTCAAACAACGAGCAAGTCTACTTACATTGCACGAAGAGACGCTTAGTTAAAAATCACCTTTGATTCAGTGATTGCGTTGCCTGAGAACTGTACAGTAGCATAGAATGCTGTATCGAAAACGAACTTCACGATGACCTCGATGGTCATCTCCCCGGATAAGCAGCTGTAGGCGCTAATCAATATCCTGCACTGTATGCCAGGATAGATTTCAATATAGTGCATTGTCTTTAGTTTGTTATCAATCCCAAGGCGGTCGGTCAGCAACAGCATTAAGTCCCTTGTGAATCTGTCGAAGAAAATGTAGTCTAAATTCAAATCTGGGGACTACTAGAGAGGCTACAAATATGTGCAACACACAAGTCAATTGCGTCATTTAACAACGAAATGATAAAACATATCCCTTTGCAAATTGTGAAAATTTTTCATCATAACATTCATCATGTTCCTTTTGAACGGGTAATAACGTGCGAACTATGCTGTCAGAGAAGTAATTTCAGCTTTTACGAGTTCATGATTCGAAAAAAGTCAGGATGAAACTTAAAGTAACCGTCTCTGCCAAGGACAAAGCGAAATGGTAACAAATTGGTACCCAAACCTG